GCAGTAGTGAGGGGGTCCCTTTTGTCCTTTGCTGACTGTAACATTTGTATTTTTGTGGTGGGCTTGAATACTGTTTGTAGGCTGTGTTTTTTCAAGTTTCCCCATGCGGTCCGTGACCCCTTTGATGTATGGCAGAAATACTTTATTTGTGGGTGGCTGTTTTTCTTCTTCAGTTTGGTGTTGTTTTCGTGATTTGATGGCTCTTGTGATTTCATTTTTGGAGTAGTCATTTGCCTGTAGGGCCCAATTCAGATGGTTCAGTTCAGTGCTGAGAAACTGAGCTTCACAGTTCTGATTTGCACGGTCTACCAATGTTTTGATTGTGCCTCTTTTTTTGCTGTGGGTGGTGGTTGGAGTTTTTGTGTAGGTGGGTTTTTGTCTGTGTGGGTGGGTTTTCTGTAGACCTTGTGTCCCAATCGGAGATCAGTTTTGCGTACAACCATGACATCTAAGAATTGAGTTTGTCTATATTTGGTACTATGCATATTTGTATATAAGGATGTTGTTGCAATATTCAGTATAGTAATTAGTTATAGTTCTTCTGAAGAAAATGATGCTCTGGACATACAAGGTTGAGATACCCTTCTTTCTCTATTTTTCACTTTTTGCTGATTTAATTTAGACGAGGATGTAATCCTTTACCTTTGTAGCCTACTGTTCCACATTTTTTGGTTTGCACCAGAATGTAACAGACAATTCAGGAAGTGCTAATAATTATATTGTACACAATAGTCTGAATAAATAGACTGTGGGTTTTGTCTGCAACTATGCAGTGGGGAGGGTCTGCCAACTCTGTACTGTTGCAGTATGCCACCTACTTCAGACTTAACAAGGCTTCCTTAAGCCACTCATCTACATGACAGTTGCAGCTTATTTTCAGTGAAGTTAAGAATTTAATTAACTGCCCACACAGAAAACAACATGGATTGGGTAGAGTGCATTTTTCCCCATTTCACATTTGTCCTTGAAGTCTGCTAATTCCTTTGAGAAAGGCTAAGGTATTGGAAACTTCTTTATTCCCAGAGCTAAATACTCAACCGTCATCTCTTCACTTGGGGAATGCACATATGCACACCCAGACACATTTAATGTATCGTGTCCGCACCCTGTTTGTAGCATTTCTTTTTCTAATACATTAAGAAAAAACATTGGGAAATTGGTTTTTAGATATTTTCAGAGGGGGGAGGTGTCATGAAGACTATGTGTGCATGCATGCATGTGTGTGAAGCCTTTATATTGCAGGGCCCCCAGGGAGGCAATGCAGTGTGCATTCGGTGTGTAATGGACATGTTTTCCTGTTGGCAGGATCGGCTTGCTATTATTTTATTGCTATGCCATTTTCCTCCCAAAACAGTTTATAATACTGTAAAAGATGACAGAAAGTTATAATATAATACACAGGGCTTGAAAAATGTTAGAATGTCTCACCAGTCAGTCAAAAATTTCACCAGTCAGCATGACCGGTTTATGTTTAAACTTAAATTTAAATTTAAACTAGTCCCTTTGTACATAACAAGGTGTACAAACCCAAAATAAATATACCCTCAGACTTGTGTTGCTTTATTACCTGCGTGCCTGTGGGGTCATGAAGCTTGTATTTTGAATGCCTTTCTTTTGAATGTCTCCAGCAAAAATAAAACTGAAAGGAAAAGCGCCCGGCCTCTTAAGGAGCCAGGTCGTAGGGTTGAAATCGGGAGCAGGGAATGTCCATATTTTCCAGCATGGAACTACTCTACATTCTCTTGCAAATCTATATATCTATGTGCCGCTCGAACTTTCTTGCTAGAAGAGGGCTGATTTTCCTTTTGCAATGGGAAGGAGGGCAGGACTGCAGGATCAGAGGGATAGAGACAGAATGAGGGTAAGGAGGGAGAGAGGGAGGGAGCTGTGGCCCGTCAAGCAGCGTTTTTTCACTCATCACAGATGAGTGGACGAGTGGATTTTTCAAGCCCTGACAATACAGTTAAAGACAACAGAAAATTAAATTGCAAAAAAAATACAGCCATTAAAATTGAATTAAATTGATTGTGTTATTAAAATACAATTACTATTGAAACCTTTAAAAATAATTTAAATGAAATACCAATATTAATTTCCCCCAAAAAAGAGAAGGCCAGCACTTGTCTTAAGTCTTATTATTTCAAGCCCTTAACTACTAAATGTCTGTAAATAAATAAGCCAACAAAAGGACAGCTGGAAGGGGCAAATGTCTTTTTATGTAAATTGTTACAGAGTCCAGGAACAGCCAGAGAGAAGGCTCCCTCTTGAGTCCCAAATAAACTTGTCTCTGAAAGTGGTAGGACCATGAGAAGTTCTCAAAGGAAGCTTATATGGGAGAATACAGTCACTCAGACAGTGGGGTCTCAGGTCATGTAGAGAAAGATTATTATTTGTGACATCATTAGTGTAAATAAAAATTGCCCAAATGGATACAAATTTTAGAACACAAAGTTCTACAGATGTGCAGAACAGGTAAATAGTTACAAGCCAACTGTTAAGCAAGGTGTTAGCATTCTCTTACAAGGGCACATGTCTAAAGGCTCCCTTCAGCTGTATCACGTAACAGTTTTGTGATACAGCTGGCCATTGCCTCTGTAGTAAGACAAAAAGTGATCTGATGGGATCTTGTTTGGAGTTGGTTTCCTCTTTACCAAAACAATGGAAAATGGGTCCATAGGAAAATGTATTTTTCTTACTATAACTTCAAAATTTACTGTGAACTTACTGACCTAGGCATGAAATAATTGCCCTCTACCTGCAAGATCAAAAGGTAAAACACAAATAGTGCCTACTTCATAGACACACATCTGTCTGTAGTCTGCAATTCTTATTTGACCATTCGATTTATTGATAGCATTGTGAGAGGAATTCAGCAGACTTCCGTAGACCCCGTTCAAGTGAAGGGAGAATCTGGTTTCAGTTTTTCCAAAGAAAATTCTTCTTTCGTTTTTCTATTATGGGAATGATATTCTGGTGTATTTTAATGTCCTTGGCTTGTGTTGTAGTGGATATGTGTGGGTACACAGGTATGTTTTTTATGTAGTTTTTCTGATTCCAGGAGTATAGTGTTCAAATTTTGGTATTAAATCTTCCTGATATTACAAGAAAGTATTGTGACTTGAATCCAGTTAGTGCCAGCTAGAGTAGTCCCATTGAATCAATAGGTTTTGACTTAGCAAGGTTCCATTGATTATTTGGGTCTGTTTGGGTCTAACAACTGGATTTAGTCTAATGCTTTCAAAAATGGAAGTAAAGTAGGGAAAGCATAGTTGATTAGCTTTAGGAGACTCATGATTAACCCTAAAAGGCGCTGTGTTTTACAAGTTATATTTGCAGGGATTAGGAAATGAATAATTGGACAGTGCAGTACACTTGGCTGGAATAATGCATCTGGTTTGATTGTTTACTTTCAGTCTGCAATTTAATATCTTTTGTAATGTGCTGTGTATATAAAATATCTCTGACTTTTGAGATTTTATGGTTCCAGCTTTTGAAATGTAATATTTGTATGAGAACATTTATGTTGTATTATACTAGGTTGTCAAAATATGTTCTGACAAACTTTGGAATTCCTTATGGCTTGTCACAGATTCCTCAAAGAGAAGCGTAGTTTTTGTTAAAATTCATTGAAAATATAACTTACATATCTATTATAAGTCTTCCTTCACCATATTCTATGCAGTCTCTGTGGATAGCAAGATACGTATTTTATACAAGTATTTGAATGCTATTATTGTAGTAACTTTAGAAACTGGATTATTTTAAAAAGAATAAGTGGCAGAATTGTTGTAATCTAACTGAACTGTATATGATGTTTTGTTTTAACCAATTCTTATTCTGGCTTAGTTGCCATTTATTATTCCCTTGTAAAATCAGTAACATTCTTTCACATAAGTTTCTCCTCCTGAAAAAAAATGAGTTTGACCATCTAGAATTGAACACATAATTATATAATATGGTTCTAATTGATATTTTTGTGGAAATGAATGGGCTGGAAAACTCTTGAAAACCAGCTCCTTTTTGATGAGTAATCTGCATATAATGGTCATGGTAACAGAATCTTAAGAAGTAATGTACTATTAAAAAAACTGGCAGAAAACATTGCTGAAGAATTGTTATAGCATCCAAAACCAGGTCATTGTGATAACTATGTGTTACTCCTTCACTACTACCACAACAGATTTCTCTGTGTAAAACTGAGATTTCAGGATTAATTGCAGGGAGGAAAAGGTACACAAGAATGGACTGTTTCAACAGATTAATATTCAATAGAAAATAAATATGTATATATTTTTCATTTACATTAAATACTCTACATTTGTACTAGAGTTACAACAATAGTATAAATAATGACTTGAAGTGATATTTAACACTGTGCAGCAGTTATTTACAGTTACTTACAGAAGAAAATAGTTTATTTACAGCAACAGTATTTAGAGCAGCAATGGTTAACCTATGGCATACGTGCCACCGCTGGCATGCAGAGCCCTTTCTGCAGGCATGTGAGCCATAAGTCACTGGATTGCTACTCCCCTCCGCAGCCAAACCTGTGGAGGCGGCTGCAGCTGCGGTTCTGGCACTTCGACAGGCGGCAGGCCAGGATCTGAAAGCAGCTGGCACTGGCGGCAGATCCAGAGTAGGGTATCGAGGCATCTCTGTGCCCGGGATTCCCCCTTCCACCGCCACTTTCAGTTCCACTGCCATTGTAGTACGCCGGCCACTGGTGTTCCACACACACACATACCCAGTTTGGGCACTCGGGCCCTAAAGGGTTTGCTGCCACTGATTTAGAGCATTGCTATATTATTGCAGTGCTAAATTAAATTATGTAGACAACAATAGAGTATTTTGTCAATATTTATTATATGTAGTGTAGTTGATTTTAGTTTCTTGCTATTTCAATAGCTATGACATTTTGCATTTTTTTAAAGTACAATTGTTAGTTTTCAGTTTTAATTCTTCAAGTATGTCCTCATTCTACCCACTCCCCTTTTGCTCAGGCAATCCATTCTGTAGCTTGGCATCACGAAGGAAAACAGTTTATTTGTAGCCATTCAGATGGCACCTTGACTATATGGAATGTAAGGAATCCTACCAAGCCATTGCAGACAATCACTCCACATGGTAAGCTCAAAATAGATTTATATTCTATTTAATATGCTCTGTGCCCTTCTTTTTTACTTTAGGCATCAATCCTATGCAAAATGTACCTGGGTATAATTCAGACTGAACTGTGTTGTGGTTAGCAAGCTAAGCCATTTAATCTCTTTACCTGGTAATACTGACTTGTAAAGAAGCAGCTGCTTCTTTAGCCCATCTATCCTTTTGTAAAAACAGAAGGTATGAAAATCGATCATATTGTGTAACTCTGTTCCTGCTTCTAACATATGCTTTCTTTTCTCTGATCAAGCCTTGCCTTTGACATCTCATTGCTATTGTGGCTCAATGTGGAATTCCACCTTTATTATTCCAAGAAGTATTACTGTAGAAAACTAGTTGATTTGTTCCTCCTGTGGCTCAAGACTATGATTATGGAGATGATTCCCCATGCTTAGTTATTTATTTAGTTAATCAGTTATTAGATTATGTTACTGACAGAGCTGCTTTGGGCCCCTTGATGGGAGAAATGCTGCATATGCCGTATTTTTCTGTGTATAAAATGACACTTTTTCCTAAAATAATTAGCGGAAAAATTAAGGGTTGTTTTATACATGGAAGGGGGAGGGATCAAAGCACTTTCTTCCCTGCTTTCCCCCTACACTTCCTTTGCGAGAAGCTGCTTTCCCCCTCCACGTTTTTCAAAGTGGAGGGCGAAAGCGATTTCTGCTTCTTCTTTGGAGTCTCTGCAAATGCACACTAATGGGTTTTATCTGCGCTTGCGTTCCACGTTTTTCAAAGTGGAGGGCGAAAGCAATTTCTGCTTCTTCTTTGGAGTCTCTGCGAATGCACACTAATGGGTTTAATCTGCGCTTGCGCAGAAGTCTCCGGAATATTCTAGAGCTTTATGATACATTTGTCAAGGACCACCCTCCTAGCCCACGTGGTCTGCCCATCCTGTTAATTGCCTCAGCTCCTTTTTGTCGCCTCTGAGGTCTCGCCTCTCGTCAACCTACCATTTGTCTTACCAATATCTGAAAGAAAATACATTCCTTTTATTGATTCTACTACCTTCTACAATCAAGGAAATTGTAAGAGACTTTCTACCATTTTCCCCAACCGCTCCATTCCTTTCCCTGCCATTTATGCCCTCCCTTCCCCCTTTCAAGAAGTGCACCTCATCCTCCAACAAGGTCCCTGTTACGGTTGCCCCACGTCACTCCTGTCACTCACAGTCACTCACAGTCAGGTTCTCATTTGCATGAGCCTATGAGAGGAGTGGAGGGGCGGAGTCAGCAGATATAAGGAGGTGTGCAGAGATGAGCAAAAGAGATCAGAGAAAAGCAGAGAGAAAGAAGCAGAGAGAGATAGTGAGAAGAAACAATAATAGAGATAAGCTGGTCAAGATAAATAGATAGAGCAGGTGGTGAAGGTGGCAAGATATATGATATTTGAATGATTTGATTTTATGCATTGAATAAATAACATCTGTGATTATAATTAAAGTTAATATCTTTCAATAAATCAGTTCTGTTGGCAGCAACCTGATAAGTGTCTGAATAAAGTTCTTGAGATATTGTGGATAAAGGGAAGCCACTGGTGGCAGTGAGAGAAAGAGGGGACCATCCCGATTGTTATCTGCTGGTGGGAAGACATAGCATGAGCCCTTTGTTTGGAGAAACAAACAGGAGTTACGTGGTAAACATCACAAATGGTGTCCAGCGGCGGGATACGAATAGATTCCAGTAAAGCCAAAATTTAAAGGGAATTTTTCTGAGTCAAGGATACCTATTAGTCAAAGGTCTGTAGGGGAGAAGTGGGTGACTCGCTAAAGCTTTTGTGGAAAAGCTTAGTGGCAGGGCTTCTGAATTCAGATCTTGGGGGGACTAAAGATAGGGAATGACTCTGAGAGAAAAATTCTGGTTGAAGTTACCTCAGGATTTGAACAGATCCAGTGGGCTGGCTTAGAACCCGAGGCTCCGAGAGTTAAGAGAGCACTTGGGGAGAAAAAAATGGAAGCCAGGGTCAAAACAGGTCTGAGGTGATAGAAACAAGCAGAGGCTTGAAAAAGATCAGAAGTTGTTTTGTGTTTGGAGGCAAGGAGTGTCTCAGACCAAGGAACAGCGGGACGTGGTGCCAGAAAGAAAAAGTGTAGCCATCCTTAGCTGCCAAGGGAGAGCTACATAGTATCTCAGAAAGAAGTATTTTAAAAAGAGGCCTGACTACTATTTCTCTGCAATTTAAACCAGCTCTTATTTAAATAAATAAATATACATACATATGCCACCTAAAAGAAGTAAAAAGCTAGTGATGTCGTTAATTGATCCTCAAGAGGCACAATGTTTACCTCATGAAGTGGAGAAAAATTGACTTCCTCTATCTGTGGAACAGGAAGAGACTCATGGGGGCCTCAGGGAGAGAAAGATATCCAAGCTCCCAAGAGTTTGAAAAATGGAAGCTGGAACAAGAATTTAAATTGAAGGAGCTAGCTATGAGAAATCAATTAGAATTGGAGAAAGAAAAAGATAGGGCAGAAGAAAAAGCTCAGGAACTCCAACTCAGGGAATTAGAAATCAGAGAATAGGAAAGAGCTGAGTCTAGACAAATGGAATTAAGACAAAGAGGAATGGAGTTTCAACTACAAATGAAACAATTGGAATTGACATCTCAAAATAACAATAGCAACAGCAATGCTGAGGGAAACCTCTCAAAGGTTGATCTAAATAAATTTCCCCAATATAGAAAAGGTGATTGCCCAGAATCTTTTCTCATCTCCTTTGAACGTGCATGCTGGGATTTTAATGTGAAAAGGAAGAAAGAATGATATTGCTAAGATCCCAAATAAGTGGAGATTTAGCAGATCTGTATTCACAGATGCCCTTAGAGCAGCTCAGGGACTTTGAGGCTTATAGAAAAATGGTTTATTCAAGATATGGCATCAGTGCAGAACAACTGAGGCAAAAATTTTGCGCCCTGACTAAAAAGCCTAATGAATCTTATTCCAATTTGGGGCTAAATTAGTTTAATGTTTGGAGAAGTGGATGGAGCAGGAGAATGTCACTTCTTTGGAATAAATGGAAAATGTGATTAGAGCAATTTTATTCTATTGTAGCTGGGGAGTTACGCTATTTAGTAAGAGACAAAAATCCTAAAAATATACTGGAAGCAAGTGAGAAGGCTGATTCCATAAGTGAAATAAGAAACCCCAGATTCTCTGAGGTAAAAATTGGTGGGAAAGTGTGAGATGACAGGAGAAGAGGGACCCCACCCAGTAAAGATTATCTCAGGAGTACCAAAGCTGCTGGAAGCCATTTTAAAGGCAAGCCCTCATCCCCAGAGCTGAGTCACCTGAAACCAAATAGCTCTGAAGGGAAGGTTGGCAAGGCCCCGTATTTCAAACCTAGAGCCAGTAAAGTATGTTACGTGTGTGGAGAGAAAGGGCACTTTTGGGCCCAGTGTCAAACTCAAAAGACTAGAGATGTTAACCAGCAAAAAGGGGGAAATTCCAGTCAGCCAAAGAAAGTATTTTGTGTACAGCATAATGGAGCTTCTTTATTTATTTATTTATTTTTTTAATTAATACAAAATAAACCTACTACTACACAAAAACCTATATACAATACAATACAATACAATTACCCATGTGCATCCATCACCTTCAGGACTAGCATTGTACTTCGTTCCATCCATTTTCACTCAGCATAATGGAGCTTCTAAAGAAGCGGTTGAAGCTGTAATCATAGCAACACAAGTAACAGAGAGGCCAGAGAAACCAGAGCCTCCTGTGGCTAGGGTCGTCCGATGCTTTTTGATAAAATGTAATCAGAATCTTCTACGCAGCTCAGGAGATGTTATTTATGTTGATGATACTAAGTATCTAGCACTAAAAGATTCTTGCTCACAAGTTACATTATTCCACCCAGATATAGTCCCTAAGGAAAATATGTTAGACCATGAAAACATTTCTGTTAAAGGGATTGGAGCTGAAATAGTGGTATTGCCAATGGCAAAAATACCCATAAAATATAAGGCATGGTCAGGAGTTTGGAAAGTAGCCATTTCTGATCAAATTCCTGCCCCATGTTTAATAGGCCTGGATTTATCTGAGCATGTACAGAGTGTTTTAGTGACAACTCAAACTCAGGGCTGGCAAATTGAAGCCACTGAGGACAACAATGAAACTTCCTGAAATGAGAGAAGGGAGTAAAACAGCTGATCTAGTTACCATGAGGAATCCTAATCATCTTTTAGACAAGAACAGAAGGAAGACTCTACCTTAAGTGAATGATTTAGACAAGCTAAGGAAGGGCCCCTGAAAACCCTGAAAAGATATTGTGTAAAAGAAGACCTATTATATAAAGAGGTGCTAGTGAACCCTATGAGGGGAGGTGAAAGCATTATCAGACAGCTGGTAGTACCTCTCAAATGTAGAGAAAGAATTATAGAAAAAGCGGATAAAGACATATTTTCAGCCCATTTAGGGATCTCATGTACTAAGCAAAGGATTGTTCAAAACTTCTATTGGCCTGGGATGGGGAAGCAGGTCAAGCTATACAGTATTGTCAGAGCTGTGACACCTGCCAAAGACAGGGTACTGGGAATGACAAGACCAAGGCTAAGCTGTGCCCATTGCCAATCATCTCAATCCCTTTTCAATGATTAGGCCTAGACATAGTGGGGCCTCTACCTAAAGTTACCAAGTGAGGGAATAGATTTATCGATTATTGATTATGCCACAAAGCTGTACCTTTGCAGAATATTGAAACAGAGACAGTGGCAGATGCACAAATAAATTATATGTGTCACATGGGCTTCGCTTCTGAGATAACTACAGATTTGAGGACCTCATTTACTTCCAAAGTAATGAAAAGATTGTGGCAAGTCTGTGGCATTACTCACATCATGTCATCCCCTTATCATCCCCAGACCAATGGTTTAGTCGAAAAATTTAATGGTACCCTAATGGGAATGATTCAAGCATATACAGCTGAGAATCCAAATGACTGGGACCATAAATTTCAACCATT